GCATTTTGGAGTAACAGTGGGTTCTGTGCTAAATACTTAATATGCATTATAATTAACATTAACATGCATTATTATTATTCACAGTGGCGGTTTGAGATAGACTGTGTTATTACTTCCCTTTTTCAGAGAGTTTAAGAACTTTTACCACATTCATGGCTAGTAAGCCACAGAGCTGAGCTGCTAACCTGAGTATGAGTGACTCCAGAGGCAAAGCTCTTAATAGGCAAGTGAAAAACTCCACTTGACATTCCTTATTTTACAACATAGAATGAAATCCAGGGGCTTTGTCTCATCTTACCTGGGCATATGTTGAAAAATAGCATCTGTAGCCTTTCAGAATCAAATCCATTTCAGACAGACTAGGGGGAAAATATCCTACTTAGAGATTCTCATCTTATTAAAATGTAAGTGAAGCCCCTTTGAGACACTTGAGTTTTTCTGGAGCCTTCTTGCCATGTTTGTCCATGGCTATTTTTTCTGAAGGTAGAGGGGAATTGCAAGCTTCGGGATATTTATGTGCTACGTGTACATGCTGCTTTGGTACCAAATAACTAAATGAATGTATTCAACAACTAATGTAGTGGGGAAAAGGATGATTTTTCTGTATTATATGACTTTCTCAGCAGAGAATTAGAAAAAATGCAAATAAGAGGTGAAGTAAAGAACCTAAATAGACATAAAAGAAATTCAAGGAACTGGAGCATAGTGTCCTCTCTCGGTCTGGCTCTTTGGTGTCATTGTTTCGGTATTTTTGTGACTTCTTAGGCTCAAATATCTCCCGAGAGGCAAAGGTTGCAGCCACATTGAAATTTCGTGCTGCTCTTGTTTTTTTCAGATGACCCACTACATTCACCATCACCTGCAACACTCTCACAGTTCAGGAGAGTTCTATTAAATTTTTAACACACTGTCTTTTTCGATGGCAGAGAGCCCCTTTTGCTGGATATCAGCCCTAGACACATGAATTATATATCTATAAATATACTCATAAAGCAAAAAAGCAGGGCAGCCTTCAGGGCTAAAATAGACCTTTTATATCCCTAGTGATCTCTCTAGTTTAAAGAAAAGCACAACCCTGTCAGAAACGGGTATATATTCCTGATTTAAAATGCTGACATTAAGGAATATAGTTCTTATTGCAAGCCAAAGAAAAATTCTGGGGATGGAATAAGAAATTAGGGTGTTGATGGCCTGCAAGTTTTCTGCCTGTAACCCCCTATGATTTTAGGCTTGTTACTTCTGTGAATACTTTTATAAGCACAGACATCTGGTAGACCCCTGACTCCATAGTCTTTGGGCATTGAAAAAAGTATCAGCTGCTCCAGCATTTCTGAGGTAATCACTTTGGATTAAAACAAATAAATATAAAATCTTAAGTAGCTTTCTACAATCTAAGGTATTTCTCTTAAGGATCTAATCATGGGAGAAATGTATCCTTCATCTCCTCATCTCAAAGGATGTACGCCTTGGACTTCCCAGGACACTATAATCATCCTAAATCTTAGAGATGGAATTGGATATTAAAATTGATTATACACACCAACTCCCACACCTGTCCTAGGCAGCTTGCACATTTACAGGTCTCTAGAATTTTCCATCTCATTTTCACTGTAATTCCCATTCATAACAATTCCCACAGCCCAGTTGACTTCCTTTTAAACTGAAGACATTCTTCAATTTCTTAAGATGCCAGGAAAGGGGTGGATTATGAAAGCTTTTCTCCCTTTCCATTGATGAACCTACCACCAGAATTGGGGCTCACTTTTCTCTGACAGGGGGCATGATTTATCATTTTTTTTATCACTGCTGCCAGGATTAATAACAAAAATGGCAAAGAAAACTGAAGATTAGTAATTTGGACAGATTATTTAAACTCTGAAATAGCATACCCATCATTTTAGTTTTGAAATAAGCTCTTATGTCACTTAGGGGCTCACCAACCTTTTAGAAGCTCTTTATAAATTGGAAAGCTTTAGGACTCTCTTCATTATGAAAATGGTTTCTACTCTTTTTTTTTTAATCCAAGAGAGATTAAAAGGTGTTGAATTGGGAAGTGAATAGCAAAGGAAAGTGGCGGGGGGAGGCAATTCAACTGCAGAGTGAATAGTTTGTGGATTTTGTAGACTTTTTACAACAAAGAAACTGCAGAAACTTTAGCTAGGATTGCAAAAAGGGGGGGGAGGAAGAAGCAAATTTAAGACTCCAGTTGGGTGTCACAGATGGTACACTAAAATTGCAAATGAATGCCACTATGTAATCATGAAGGCAGTGATCTTAATCTCACTTAAAGGGACATCAGCACCCTACTTAACAATTTGCCTTTAAGTGTTCTATACCAGGCTTTTGCCTTTTAGCAGATTGGCTATTATTTGTCCTTTATCCCAGTTTCCTCTCTGCTTAATATACATGGAGCAGATTTTTATCATGGTCCTAAGGAACAGATGACTCTCAGTATTTGTGCCAGAAAAGAACACACAAGCTAAACCTTTATTCTAGGTGAGACAGGTAAAAAAAAAAAAAAAAAAAAAAAATCCTGACTTGGTCTCTGAAGGAAAGTAAAATCATCCCTGAGTAATCTCTAGAGAACCTTCAAACACATTGCATGGGCCTTCTCTCTTCTCATCGCTGTTCTCTTCCTTAAACACTGCCTTTTTCCATGGGTCACCTTAAATATTTATTAACACTTGCCATCCCCTCCCCCCGAGGAGAAAAGTAAACTCGGGGTTAGTTTTAGGACTGGCTTATCTTTAGGGAATTGTGCTCCAAATCCCATTTCTAAAAACTAGCAACAGTTGTAAATTGTGCATTAAATATGTTGCAAGATATAGGAATTCTATATGTTCACAATGTTAAAAAAAAAAAAAAAAAGTCACGCTGGTCCAGTAAAGCAAGTCTGAAGCTGTGACAAATGTGCAAAGATTGTTTCACTCAACAGTTTGAAACTCTTGAGCACTAGAAGAGAAGCTTGGGATTAGCGCATAGCCCAAAATACCATCTTGAAATTCTCAGAAAGGTTCATGTTTTATTTCTCTACACATGGTAACATCAGGTAGGACAGAGATGAATGGTTGTCTTCCAAATGATATACATACATTATGTACATTATTGCCACCCTCCCCAACTGCATTTCTCTCTGCATAACACAATGTTACTGGCTAATTCTGGAGTGAAGCTCCTGACACGGCTACAAAGGGTGTTTTGAAGGTATGTAACAGGCTTCCTCCCCAGCTGCAGTCTGGGCAGGTTAGATGCAGCAGTTCCAAAGGAGGCATAGGAAACTAAAAGATATAAAGTATGGAAAGAGGAGCAGGAGAATTCTCATTTGTGAGTCAGTCTTTGTAGGAAGAACCTGAAAGACCGTGTAAGCGCAAAGGCTTGTCCACCTAGAACTCTGCAGTAGTGAGTCACATGTCTGACTTTGTCACCAATAAGGGGCACCTCAGCGAGAGTCACATCTGATAATAGATGTTCCAACACTGACCATCCCGTCCGGGCAGTTACTGTGGAGGGCAGAACAGACAAGATCATACCTGGCTGAGTGCTTAATGACCCAGCTCAGAAATAATATATTCCCAACTCAACTGTCTGACTAACTGGGACTGGAAAACATCATGCCATCCCTGCTAGAGGATTTTTTTTAAAAAACAGCTGAAATACATTTTTGGAATAAATTCAGTGAGGAGATACGAACTGTGACTTCTGGAGATTCTTTCTCTGTTTGAAAAATAACACGGTAAAGAGACACAGAAGAGACCTCGATTATCTCGCTTACGTACGTGAGTAATAAACGTGGCCCAACAATTAGGTGAGTAACATCCACCACAGAATATTTGTAGTACCCATGATTTGCAAGGCACTATGATTTACTGAATTACTCTGAACTTTCTTTCCTGACCTAGTCCACGTTTATAAGTGCAATAACTAGGGTCTGTGGGTAAACCAATTTATTTTTCCCACTCTAGATAAGAATCGCTGATTTTAATTTTTTTTAAGATTTTATTTATTTGAGAGAACAAGGAGGGGCAGAGGGGGAGGGAGAGGGACAAGCAGACTCCCTGCTGAGCTGAGCAGGGAGCCCAACGGGGGGCTCAATCTCAGGACCCTGAGATCATAACCTGAGCTGAAGCCAGACGCTTAACTGACTGAGCCCCCACCAGGCGCCCCAAGAATCGCTGATTTTAAAAACTTTGTTATTTCTACATGTCTGAATCTAAGTTTTCCACAAGGTATGGATATCTAGTCTGAGTATTTTTAAAATCTAGTGTCCACCTCAGCATATATTACATATAGCATAAAAGCAATGCATAAACATGAGATCAGTGCAAGGCGAGTTGTCATTTAATCGGGGAATTTCTGGAAAAGCATAATCAAAAAGGGTTTGTTAGATGAACATGTTTAACCTCTCCTGTGTTCCCCTCACTTAGCATATAGTAAATGAAGACTGAACTTGATAAATGTTAAATAAAAGACTAGCTTAAAAGACGAAAGACAATCTTTTATGTTCACTGATCTTGATCTCTGTGACATGGAGAATATGCCATGCTCATCCTCATGGGAGCAAGTAAGTAGAAACCCAAGAAGGCAATAATGAAATGCTAGGGCTTACGGATTAATCACATGCATGAGTGCATACACACACACTCTCTCTCTCTCTCTCTCTCTCTCTCTCTTCTGATAGCCAGTTTTTGCAACAGTAACATGGAAGGTCATTATTTTGTAAGCAGATTCTGGAAACAGCCTACTTGAATTCTCTCCAAATAATTACTTGAGAGTATCTTTAAAAGCTAGGGGGTTTCAGATTTTGGTGGCAAGAGGCATATAATGGGCTCTAAATCAGTTTAGAATGGTTAGGCTACAACAAAGGATCCATGTGCGGGCCCAGGTCATTTTATTATTATTTCTGATGCCTAACTGATGAAATACAGTCCCTGAGAATGCCTATGAATTGTGTCTATCTGCAAATATACTAATTGTGTTTTTCTTTTTCTTTTCAATCCCAGGAGGTGAATTAGTTGTCCCTCTTCTTGTAGAAGACCCTTTAGCTACCCCTCCTATTGCTACTCGTGCACCTTCCATTACACTCCCCCCTACCTTTCGCCCCCTCCTCACCATTATTGAGACCACCAAAGATTCCCTGTCCATGACCTCTGAGGCGGGGTTACCTTGCTTGTCGGACCAAGGCAGCGATGGTTGTGATGATGATGGCTTGGTGATATCTGGGTATGGCTCAGGGGAAACCTTTGACTCTAACCTGCCCCCTACTGATGATGAAGATTTTTACACCACCTTCTCCTTGGTAACAGATAAGAGTCTTTCCACTTCAATCTTCGAAGGTGGCTACAAAGCACATGCGCCCAAGTGGGAATCCAAGGACTTTAGACCTAACAAAGTCTCCGAAACTAGTAGGACTACTACCACATCTTTGTCCCCTGAGCTGATCCGCTTCACAGCTTCCTCGTCTGGGATGGTGCCCAAATTGCCAGCTGGCAAAATGAATAACCGTGATCTCAAACCCCAGCCTGATATAGTCTTGCTTCCGTTGCCCACTGCCTATGAGCTAGACAGCACCAAACTGAAGAGCCCACTAATTACTTCCCCCATGTTCCGTAATGTGCCCACAGCAAACCCCACGGAGCCGGGAGTCAGACGGGTTCCGGGGGCCTCAGAGGTGATCCGCGAGTCGAGCAGTACAACAGGGATGGTCGTCGGTATTGTGGCTGCCGCTGCCCTCTGCATCTTGATCCTCCTGTACGCCATGTACAAGTACAGGAACAGGGACGAGGGGTCCTACCAAGTGGACGAGACGCGGAACTACATCAGCAACTCGGCCCAGAGCAACGGCACGCTCATCAAGGAGAAGCAGCAGAGCGCCAAGAGCGGCCACAAGAAACAGAAAAACAAGGACAAGGAGTACTACGTGTAAAAACGACGCCGCTAATAATCACGTGCACTTAGGACACAGAACTACTTCTCCGTAAAGCTGTAACTACTTGGCCAATGAGATTTCACAGGCGTCAGAACTGCTATCGCTACGAGATGGGGCGCACCATGACTATGGTGGGGAAAACCACTTTTAAAAGGACACACACACAGATGTACCTACCTGTGAAGCTCAGCCATGGCTGCTTTGATTCAGTCATCGCTCGGAGACAGAACATTCTCTCTGCCCTGCTGTATCATAAAGCACACACGTTGCGCTCTGGAGCAAGCAGATGGCTCCCCCCACTTCCACGGACTTGGAAGCTTCCTTCTCTTGAGGACTTTTCGCCCAAGGTAGAGGACTTCACGGCTCACTTGTTCCGTAACTCCAAGTGAGTCTGTAATGATGCTTGTGAAGCTTGACTGTAACAATGTTTTCTTTTTTCTTTCCTTTTAATTATGTAAAAAACAAAAAAAAAATGAAAAAAACGAAATGCAAAAACCAAAAAAAAAAAACCCACCCTTATCAAGGTTTTGGCCAGTGTACGTGTAACTTTTCAAGATCTGAGGGGAAAAAAAAATGGCTTTTGGGTTTTTGTTTATTTTTTGAGAATGGACATAAGAAGAAAAGACAAACAAACAAACAAAACTCAGAAAACGACAGTAAGAGAGACTATTGCCATATGAACTCAAAAGCTACCATGGTGTTCACTCTACATATCAGGTTGTGGTATTTCTAGAATCTGTTGTTTGTTTCCTATATGATGCTTTGCTGAACACATAGCAAAAATCACAGGATGGATAATAGCATTGATTTGAAAAGCTGGTCCCTCAGGATCTAATTTCAGAATCTGCCACCCAAACTCTGACCAGATGGGTTTAGGGCTGGTTTTATCAGAGCTATTGGCTTGACTTAACAATATTGTTCCAAATTGTGGTAAAGGAGAGAGTCCCGCAAACTAAAAACAGAGCCTTTCCGAGGGAAGGTAAAGAGGGGGTGGGCTGGATCTGTGACTGACTGAAATGCATGCACATAATAAAAGACAAGACAATACTAAAAGTCTGTGAAAGAATCAAAACAGACAGTAGGGGAGTTCAACGTGTGATGGATCCACAAAAGGTCACACAAGCCAAACATGGCATGACAGAGTGCAAAATACATAGTTCTTCCCCCGCCCCCAACATGATGTTTTTCATAGTGGTTTAATTTTGTAGCCTGACACTTACGGATAACTCTGCCCTTCCATTTGCTCACATCTCCCTTCACCCATCTTTTCTAAAAACAAATAAATAAATAATAAATTAATAAAGCTGCTGTGACACACACAAAAAAAGGAATTTAATAGTATAATATATATAAATAAATATATATACAGATATATTTATCATGGTATGTTTGATGGGATGACTGAAACAGGAAAACTGTTAAAGTCTTGAAGTGGAATGAGAATGTTGTTTTAAAAGAAAATAACAAAACAACAAAAAAGTAAACCTTAAAATGTGAAGAAAGTGTGAGTTTTAGTTTTGTCACAGTTAACTGTGTCAAAGAGAATAAACAATCTTCTCAGATTTTGTTTACATATTTTACTACATTTTTGCTGGTATAATCCCTTAGCCACCTATGTACATACTGCTTTAAGAACTGTTCTTTCCTTTCTATGGGTTTGTTTCGGTTTGTTTGGTTTATATTCCAGTTGTCTTTCTTTTTGAAAAGAGGAAACAAATGTACAGAAAAACAAACTGGTTGTGTGGCCATAGCTAATCCAAAAAGCAAGAGACAAAGCAAGACAAATATTCACACAAAAATGATGTCTTCTGGAGGGCCGGATATATACAATTTCTTTTGTATAGATGAAAACCAACCATCTGTTTAGATTTAGAAATCTACTCTTGCTGGTCTTTGTAAGTTGCATGAATATTTGACTTTGAGAAATATCTTAAAGACATGGGGCAAAAAGCGTGATCTAAATGATGGTAGCCTTGACAAATGTGTATGGAAAGAGGTGTTCCTCATTATCTGATACTTCAGTGTGTTACGAGTTTTGGATTTTTTTTGTTGTCATTAAAAAAGACAGGATTATAAAGAGATATCAAAGCACGATTTTAGATAAATGGCCCAACCTATATGAAGTTGATTATATCTCGATGTCTGTAAAAGATTGCTGTTTTTGGAGTCTTGAGGTCTTGTGAACCGATTTCCTGCTTTCTTTACATTTTTTTTTTAATTTGAGTAAAAATACATTTGTTATATTCCTTTTAGTGTAAGTTTCTATTTGGACAATTTTATGGGAACATGTGCATTCTGTATGTGAGCTATCATATTCCTGTTGTTTTATGAGCAGACTCTTAAGGAATTTATTTTATGATGTTGTGAAGTTACTGCTTTTTCTTTTTCCTTTCTCTTTGATTTCATATTTGCATTTTCGTTCAAGGATATGCTTAGCAATAAAATGTTCTTCCCAAAACCTTGTATGATGATGCATTTTTATTTTCTAAACATTTGGTAAAATATCTTATACTGGAGCTCAACATGTCATATCTTATTAAAAGCCAAGTAAGCTAGGACCATGTGAAATAAAATATTTTAACCAGTTACTAATTACTTATATAAATTTATCAAAAGTGGCATATATATGGGCTAGACAACTGTTGTCTGTCACCTGAGGCATTATTATTTAGATTGCTATGATAGGGTAAGCAGGAGGGAAAACACTTCTGAACAGGTAAGATGACAGAAGCATTGTATTCTGGGAAGTATTGGATACTATACATTTTTTTTTTTTTTAATGTTTGGTAACTTTTAAGTATTCATTGCAAGTCAACAAACTTCAAACAGTTTTCCAGAACCTTACTTATATAATGTCTTAAACCCTGGAAAGCTTTAGATGCCTTCTCTCCGAGTTTCCTGGCATATTGAAAATTTTTTTAAAAAATCACTAAGTCCAAAGACAAAATATATATGAATGCTTACATTTTAACAGCTTTTTTCTAGATTTTTGGATTATAAAATTCTGCAAATATTCATTATAGCTGGCACCATTCTTGTATCTCAGGTGTCCTTGATTTGCTGGTTCCCTACACGCCTCCCCACTTTGCCAATTGGATAAACCATCATGATATGCCACATTTTTCACCATGATCCTGACATGTTGGTTAACTGAACTGGTGTACTCTATCCATACATAGGTTACCAGTTTTCAAAGAGAAAAGCAAATTTAGTTAACCCTGTTCCTTTGGATTTCAGATGATTATGCTCTTTACTATCATGGGAATGGAAAATAAAAAGGCTCAATGATGTCAAATTATGGAAAGTTTCTTTTTTTTGCTGCCTGTCTCGGATAATTTATGTAAATTAAAGCAACATTTATCAATCCCCATAATGTGCCAGGTACTGTGTTAAATGTTTTGGATCTGTGTAGTGTGTTTAGTCCCTGAGTAGTACATAGTATTTTCCTTATCTTAAAGATGAAGAAACAAAGACACAAAGAGCTTAATGACAACTTGGCAAATACATTCCTAATCATGTTAGAAGTCAGGCCTTCCTGACATGGAGTTCAGAGGGATGTCGTGGAATGGGTAGAGGTACTGAGACCCTGTTGGGTTGGAACCCCAGCTAGGCTCTCACCATGTATGGGCAGTTTTTCTGAAATTTGGCTTCCTCGTCTGAAAAATAGGACACCTCAATGACCTTGCCTTGCAAGGTAGTTTGGGGAAAAAGTGAAATAAAGTGTTCTAATTGTGATTGATACAGAGTAGGGGCTCAACAAAGTTATGCTCCTTTACTTTGAGTCCTTTGCTATTCTGTATATAATAGCTGCCTTCTAGAATTAGAAATCCTGCACTAAATTCTACATTAATAAAAAGATTTAGTTGTTGTCAAACAATGTTGGCAAGTCAAGACTAGTTGTAATAGACAAAACTAGTCTTTTTCTGGTCATATACTTTGATTGCAAGCATGACTGCAACTAGTAAATATGTGGCATTGAAATATGGTAGCATACATCTGTCTGACAGCACATTTTAAGCAAGTGGCCAGAAGTTGGGGTATGTAAAGGGAGTCTAGATTTGAGAAAACTTGCCAGAGAAATTTCCAAATAATGGTTAATGTGGTAGATTCATCAAGATGTAAGTGGCATTTGCTCAGATACGCTGGTTAAAGTTCATCAACAGAAATACTTTTTCACTATTGTTCCATGAGGAAATGTTGAGACTACACCATCTCTTTTCAATGTGTTTAACTTGGGCCATAGGCTTTGGAATCTGAAAAGCTTAGTTCAGATCTTGGATCTGAATCTTTGGTCTATCCTTTACTAGCTGTGAAACTTAGAGTAAGGTGTGGGGTGACTCTAGCTTCATCTGTGAAATTGGAATGATACTGTCCTCCTCTTAGTGCTGTTCTGTAACTAAATGAGCTGATGTGAATATTAAGTGCTTGGTTATAAGCACAGTGCCTGGCCCATAGCCCTCAAACAATGATGGCTAATACTGCCTTTTTAATTATTGAGTATTGTCCTAGAAAAAAAAAATAAGCCAAAATTCCTTCTAAAAGTTTAGAAAGGTTATATATTGGAGAGCCCCAGAGCAATCACTTTACTCTGTCACCCAAAATCATAATTGTTTTTATTCCCCTACAGTTGAAATCACATTGATTCTTTGAGCTCTTCTTGAGTGTTCCACCAGAAATGTGCATACCCCTGTAAAACCCATTGTTTCAATCAACTCCTTCAGTATAGGGTGCATAAGAAAGATTCGAATGGTAGCCTGTTCCATACCTCAAAGGACAGTCTTCCAACCCTTCCAAATTACAGAGTTATCATTGCCTTAGACACCCTTTCAAAACTCTATATTGGCTTTCCCGCCATAAACTTTCTAAATACCGCTATTTAGTATATAATCCAAGAACCACTTTAAGCATTTACTCTTTTGATAATTCAACACTTACTGAATACTTCTGCACCATCCAGTCTATTGGTTGTTGTTACTTTCAGGGAAGGCAGACAATGGATATAAGCCTTTTTTTCTGGTGTAGATCCCTATAAGCTAAAGTTCTCTTCACCCTATTCAAATTGAAGTTCGGTCTTTCTCCAAAGATATCCAAGACCTGTTCTTGTCCCAGTTCAATTAAAATCTTGATAATTCTGCTTGAAATTGGTTTATTAATGTACTTATTGGACACTGACCAAATGATTACTATATCTTAAATTGAGAGACTTAAGGAGTTTAACAACATACTAAAAGAATACAAATAATGATACTACAGTGAATAAAAGCTGTCAAAAGAGTACAAGCTACATTCTTTGGAGGTTCGGAAGAAATTACTTAAGGGAGGGCTTCAGAGAGGAAGTGATATGTTAGATAAAACTTGAAAAATTGATAAGCAGAGATCAGGGCTACATGCCATTCCAAGCAAAGCACTGAAATGGAAGCAAATAGGATCAAAACCATAATTTGGATGGATCACAGATTGTATATAAGGTGTATTATGAATGGTATGACTCAGAAGTTTTTTGGAATTTTGTTAATGAAAGAATAACGAGAGGATGTCAAGAGGTTCTCAAGGTCAAGAGCTAGTTGTTGAGTAGAGAGGACACAAGCATGTTTGAAGAGAAAGGTAATAACTGATACATTCTCAGAGAATGTAAAAGATGATTTGAGAGATCAAGTTTGCATATAGAGATATTACTCTGAACAAAGCAAGGGAAGAGTATTCTTCTGATACAACAACAAAGGAGAGAGTGGGATAAACAAAACTGACATATTGCAGTGGAGGTGGCAGAAGTAGAGGCAGGTATTGTCAGCCTCAATGTTCAAGATAAGGTCAAAGTCACCTAACAGTGAGACTGAGCACACGGCAGAAGTCGGTCGATAACCCCGTTAGGAAGACAGCTAATAAAAGTATCCGTCAGAGGTCAATTATCTTTATCTGATATTAAATGTAATAATTAATATTTTTGCTACATTTCTTTTTTATGTCCTGCCTTGAAGTCTAATCTTGTGTTTCCAAATTTAGAGTTCTTTCAATTATGTAATGCTTTTTCTAGAGAAGCAAGCCATCTTATACTTTTTTTTCCAGAAGCATTTGCGGTGGAAGCTTAGGAAGAGGATGCTAGGCTGATGCATGTAACCCGCTGGGGCTGCCACAACAAAAGTATTATAAGCTGGGTGGCTTACCCAACAGAAATTTCTCTCTCACAGTTCTGGAGACTGGGAGTCCCAGATCAAGATCTGGTAGGGTTTGTTTTCTTATGAGCGTTTTCTTGGCTTGTAGACAGCAGCCTTCTAAATCTGTCCTTTTGTCTACGCATGTGCTGCAAGGGGGTGTGGGAGAAAGAGATCTTCCTCTTCTTATAAGCCACAGTCCTGTTGGATCAGGATCCTACCCTATGACCTCATTTAACTTTACCTCCTAAAGATCCTTTCTCCAAATACAGTCATACTGTGGGGTGGGGGGAGGGCTTCAACATATGAATTTGGGTGGACACAGTTCAGTCCATCACAGATGTATATGGTGTTAGGAATTAGTAAGTTGAAAATTTCAAGAGCTCAAAGGAGTAAAGGAAACCAGCAGCGACTCTAGCCTTGTTGAAGTGCCTGCATGGGCAAGGTAAAAGTGCAGCTCAATCCAGGAGAGCCTAAACCACAAAGCAGGAGAGAATCACAGGACTAGGAGCCAGGATTGGGAAGCAGTGTTAGGGTTGTCTAAGAGAGAGGCCACAGGAGACAGGAATAGCTAAAGGGAACCCAGGCTTAGATTTGGAGGTGTACTAAGTGAATAGTGTGAGCTTTAAGAGGCTGTGACCTTTTGCAGTGGTTCTTAGGTCCAGGGGTTCTCCAGTCAGAATCCCATGGCTTGTATTCTGGTGCTATAACTTGAGATAAATCATTTGGTCTACCTAAGACTCAGCTTTCATACCTATAAAAGCAAATTATAATTACCTATCTTGTAAGTTTGTCAGGAAAGATTGAATAAATTCATGTAAAATGCTTAACTTATACCTGGCACATAGTAAACCTTAATAAATGTCAGTCATTATTACAGTTTGGCCTTGTTACCTGACTCAAGCAGCATCAAAATTAGCGACTACCCCCATGGCTATCCAGCAACCAAAAAGGACATAACAATAGAGAAATTAGGCAATCACCCTGAGTATTATTTCCCTAGGTCTTTCATTTTCCACGAAATTACAAAATGTAGTTGCCTGCTCCTTAGCAAAGCTTTCCCTTCACTGCCAGGCATTCTCTGCTTCCGGGCTCCAGCTTGGATGATGCCCATGCCGGGTCATACCCTGATACTGCCCCTCCTCTCCTGTGTTTCTAGCTCCTAGCTTCCTGTGGCAGCTGGTCAAACACTGGGAAGCCAAGATGCCTTCAGGAAACCTTGTACCCCTTTATTGAAATGCATTATTTTGGTTTTGTTTTTAATTTGGCTTTTCATTGTGATCAGTAGTATAATAAACC